TGTGCATTTGTTATGTGCTAAACCCTTGGCATGTGTAGCTCATTTAATCCTTAAAACAACCTGTGAGATAGGTTTGAATACTATCCCTTTCTTATAGAAGAGGAAATTGAAGCCTAGAAAGAGAGAATGAATTAAGAACTTGCTTGGTGTCCCACATCTAGTCACTGGCTGAGAGATGTGAGGCTGGGCTCTGGGAACCACTATATCCTACTGCCTCTAAACCCCAGAAGACTCTTAGGGAAAGTGTGACTAGAGATGGTCAAGGGGAGTTCACCTGCTACACTTAGGATCTCTGAGCATTGCAAGGTGGGCTGTCTTAAAACCAACTATGAACAATTGCCCAGAAAGACAACCTCAGGGCAGATGGTAGGACAAAATGAAGGACGCAGAGTCACGGAGGGGAAGGGCTAAGAGACTCTGAGCGGAAGGGATGGAAGGAGGAGACCCTTTGGAGGAAGTCCAAGCCGGGGCCCTAGGAGGAGAGCAGTGCCCAGCAGGGCCTGGGGAGGCGGGAGCTTGGATTGCGTTGGTGGGGTTGGAGGCATCAGACTGGGTTGTGGTGGGCTCTCACCAGCGAACATGCGGGCCTCGTCAGTGGGCACCTCCCGGGCCTGGCTGAGGTCACTCTTGTTACCCACGAGCATGACAACGATAGTGGCCTCGGCGTGGTCGTAGAGCTCCTTCAGCCAGCGCTCTACCACGGCGTAGGTCTGGTGCTTGGTTAGGTCAAACACCAGTAGGGCCCCCACCGCACCACGATAGTACCTGGGTTGGGGTAGAAGGGAGAACAGAGGTAAGGTCAGGGTCATCTGGCCCAACCTCAGAACAGAGTCCTCAAGCCAAAAGCCAGAGATGAGTACCAGAGATGGGGAAATATGAAAACTGGGGTCCAGAGACCCAGAGCACAAAGGGCAGTCCAAAGTCCCATGTCCAGTGCTGAGCGCCCTCCTGGGATACTGGTCTTGGAACCTCCGAAGACTCACCTCCCTTCTCCAAAATCACCGGCTCCCTCCTCCTGCCTAGCCTCTCTGCTTCCTCATGTTTTGTTCTGATCTTAGCCCCTGCTATCCACCAGTGCATACCTGGGCTCTGGTCAAGTCGGCCACCCGGATGCCATGCCTCCAAGACCTTTCTCACACAGCTCCTTGACCCACAGTGCCTTCTCCTTTCTCGTGGCCATCTTTCTAGGACCAGCTAAATGCCTCCCAGAGCAGCAGTTTCTGACTTGATCATCTGAGGCATCCTAGCAAGCCTCCAGCCTCACTCTTGGAGTTAGATGGAGCTTCTTCAGGCTGGTGGTATCTAATTGTTCCCATTTTATTGTTGAGTCAACTGAGGCTCATAAGAGTCAGGTGACCAGTCCAAGAGTGACGAGTATGTATAAACAAAGCACCTGACTCCTGCTTCCTGTCCCCTGGCAGGTGCTGTTGCCCACCACACACACACAGACCACATCTGGCCTGACACTGACTGGGAGACACTCTGTGTCTGGTGTCAGGAGGCTGCTTCCTCTGTGTCCTCTGAGTCTGTAAAATGCAGCTGAAGGCGTGGTCCAGCCCTTCACCCTGTGGTTAGATAGTTAAGGTTGCCAAGTGCAAAGCACTGTGCACAAGTGAGGAGCTCTCTCGATCCCAGAACCTGCCCCCATCCCAGCTCCACCCTGATTTCACCTGCTTGAAACTCAAACTTCTTGTATTTAAAGAGGGATTACTGTAGCCCCTTATTCCTGTGGTACTTTAAGGATTACACAAAATGCCCAATGCAAGGTGCCTTGTACCTTCCTGGGCACATAGCAAAGACATGAGTAAGTGGTGGCAATGACTCATTTTCAGTTCCAGCAGTTGGTATCTCTACATCCTGTCTCAGGTTGTTTTGTAGTGATGGTACTTGTGTCTCCTCACCTGGGCCATGGCGTCCCGCAATCCTGTTCAAGGAGCACACCCCTGAGTGTCCTGGCCTCTTCCTCCTCCTCCCCACCTTCCCCTCCCCCAGAGCTATGCCCTGACTTTCCCAGCACCCTCGAACCCCAGCAGTCCCCCAGCCCCGGGCTCACGCCGAGGTGATGGCTCGGTACCGCTCCAAGCCAGCCGTGTCCCAGATCTGAGCCTTGACAGCGGCGGTGCCCAGCATGACAGTGCGGGTGGAGAACTCAACCCCGATGGTGGTGCGGCTGTCGTGGCTGAACTCATTGCGAGTGAATCGGGACAGCAGATTGGTCTTCCCCACACCAGACTCGCCGATCAGCACCACTGAAGGAGTGGAAAGATAAAGGCTGAGCTTGGAGCAGAGCAGCTCCAAGCCAGGCGGAGCTTGGAGGTTTTGCCTATCAGAAAGGGGGAGCTGAGCTCAGAAAACTGAGGAAGGAGCCAGGTATCCTGGCAGAGACTAGAGACTGTCTGCAACTCTACATGATGCTTCCATCCCGGGGCAGAAAGGACAAGATTCTGAAATGGGTGAAGGACTTTAAGGCTTCTGAGTCAGCCTGCATATCTGGTGATGGAGTCACGTCTGGGGGCTGCTTATGGGTCTTGGCGTTCAGAGGTTGTGAGGTTAGCAGGGTGTGCACATGTGGATGGCGAGTGTAGGGGGTCTGGGGGAGGGTCACATCTCTGGGCCAGGGAGTATGAGAACGTTGTGCATGTCTCTATGTATATGAGCTGGTAGGACAAGTAGGAGGTTTGTGCATGGGGAGCAGAGGTGTGACTAGAAGTGTGAGTGAGGAGAAAGTTTGGCAGGTGACACATCTGTGGGTGGGGGGAAGATGTGGAGGTGTGTGCAAGGAATTAGGATTCACTTGTCCCCAGGAAGGGGCAGCCTTGCATGGTTAAGACCACGGGACTGGGTGTGGGACCAGCTGTGTGTGTCCTTTAGCAAGTTATTTATCCTCTCAGACCTTCTTTTTCTCATGAAAAAATGGGAAGAACAACAGCACCTGTCTTATGGGTAAATGCAAGAGGTAAAGGAGATATTGCCCAGGATACAGTGAGTGTGCAAAACTGTGCCTGTCATTACTGTTGCTGGTAGGCCAGTGCTTTTACCTTCAGGTTTTTCAGGGACAAAGGTCCACCGCAGGGGCTATGAAGACCCTTTGGGCTGGAGGGCAGCGTCCAGGGCCCAGTCTTACCCACCGTGGGTGAGCTGGGGGCGGGGGTTAAAATGTGGGGCTGATATAAGCGCCACTCACAGTCCAACTGGCCCCAAGCTGAACATCCCAGGATTAGAGGTGGCCACCCAGGGTGGCTCTGGAGAGGCAGGCTGGCACCCCAGGACTGGGAGCCACATGTTCTGGGCTCTGGTCCCTACTCAGCCTCTGCCTAGTTATGCAACCCTGAATAAGTGGCTCACCTTTTCTGGGTCTCAGTTTCCTTGTTTATAAAATCTACAAAGGCATCCTAACTTTAAAAATTCCTTATTTGTGTAAGGCAGGAAAGAGCTGGGAGCAATATGGGTGTGTGTACGTAATAGGATGTGTGTATGTGTGTATGTGTGTGTATATGTGTGTGTGTTCCTGCCTCTCCCCTACTGGGAACTTCATCCCCATCTCATCCCTCCCAGTGGGTGGGCTCTGAGCACTCCCCTCAGGCCCCACACAGGCTCAGGACAACGGTTTTAGAGTCAGACAGATTTGGGTTTCAATAATGACTTTATGATCTTTTGAAAGCTACTTGCTCTGTCTCTCATCCTCATCTGTAAAATGGAGATACTAATGGTTAAAGTTTTTTGAGTCCTACTATGTGCTGGGCATCATCTCAGGCTTTCCACATATTAACTCATTTGATCCTCACAACGATGCCATGAGGCAAGTACCATTACTAGTATCATCCAATTTTAACAGGGGAGTTAAGTGACTTGCACAAGATAACACAGCTAGTGTGATAAACACAAGATGTGCTGCCCAGATGCACCTTCCAGGAAGGGAGTGCAGTCAGCACACAGCCTCCCGCCGTCTGCTCCTTCAGCATCTCCCTCTGATGCAGAGAGCAGCCTCACCTGTGGATATAGCTTTCCCGGGTAGCCTGCGTCCAGTGCCCGAGCAAGGAGAGGGTAACCCAAAGCTCCCCACCCTTGGCCAAGGCTTTGCAGTGTGACTTCTCCCGCTGCCCAATCCTTCATCCTCCCTCTTTCTTTCACTGCTGCTGACCCACAGTAAACGTCTTCCATCCCAAACTTCTCAGTGTCTGCTTCTAGGGACCCCAACCTGCAATAACTAGTAAGTGGCAGGGCTGAGATCTGAACTCAGACTGGCTCCTGACTCTCAGGCTTTCAAAATGAAAGATAAAATTTGGGGGGTTGTTATGGTGATTAATGAACTAGTGGCTGGCACATCGCATGGGCTCAATAAACAGTAGTTACTGCAAGTAGTATTGCCCTAGAGTACACTTACCCTATCTCTGGTTCCTGGGAAAGATGCCGGGAATACAGGTTCCCTAAGCCCTGGTAGGCTGAGAGTCCCAGCTCAAGTGAGGCGGGGTTGAGGCTGGGAGGGGCAGTGAGGTGGGGTGGCTGGACAGGGAATCAGAGCGCTACCAGTCCACCCTGCCCTGGAGGAGGTGTGGAGGCGGGGTGGGATGGGGTGGGGTTGAGGGGTAGAGGGTGGGGAACACTAGACTGGCCAAACACAGGGGCAACATAAAGGAGCAGGAAAGATACATGCACACTTCCAGCCAAGTTGTACCCAGTTCCTGGTATTTGGGCCCAAAGGGTCTGCCAAGGGACAGACAGACAAGGCCATGGTCCTCCAGATTCTGTTAGACCCCGCTTCCAATTCATTACATCTTCCCTATGTCTTCATCCAGCCCTATGATGGGATAGATCTCTCCTATCTCTCCTTTCCTGTACAGCTGCCCATAAAGATGGCTTTCTTCCCCTTCAGTCTGCTGGTTTCTCCTTCTTCTCAGGAGGGAGTCCTCTCTGAAGTCTGACCTCCATCTCTTGTGCTGCAGTAGCTGACTAGTCCTAGGGATTTCTGCTGCCATTAGGAACGGGACGGAGGAGACTAATTCGGCATTATTAAGGAGAGATCAAACTACTTACAGCACCAGAGCATTCTGGCAGCTCCGAGACATTTGCTCCAGTAAACAGATCCTCCCCTACTCCCTGCAGCTTTCTTTCTTATCAGAAGGAATGATGAGCCCTGGGAGGGGGTCCTGCTGAGTGGTTAAAAAAAAAAACAGGAGGGGGCCCTCTGGCTCTCTTGGTCTCCTTCTGGGTCTCTCTCAGGCTTTCCTTTTTCTTTATAGACCCCAACTCACCCTTGAAGACAAAGTTATAATCTTCCTCGTTTCTGTTTCCCATCTTGGCTCCGCATGGAGGCCACAAGTGTCTTCGAGGGCAGAGGTGACAGGTCTATGCGTTGGCTCAATGCCCTCAGCCCTCGGTTCTCAAGAGACCTGGATCCACCCTTCCTCTCATTGAAGGTAGAGACTTCTGCAGCCGGAGGGATCGAGGGCCGATTTAAGGCTAGACAGGGCCTAGGGAGGCTCAGCCCTAGCAGGTGTCGGTGCCGTGAGGGAACTGAGAGGACGGAAGCTGTGGACAGGAAGCGAAACGACTGGAGACCTGAGGCCCGGGTGGGTGGAGAGACGATGACGTCAGACAGGTTAGACAGGTTGGGTGTCTGCTCTCAGCCTGCACTCCCACAAGCAGGTGAGCAGGCTCAGCGGAGTGACAATGGGAGCAGCTGGGACTGGGACAGTCCCTTCAGAGAGCCAGCTGAGGACTGAATGCCCATTGCTAGGCTCCTGGGACCTGTGGCCATGGGGGACCCAGCCACCAGTGAGAAATAGTCCCTCAGGGAGCAGAAAAGTTCTTGGCCTCCTACTTTCCTCAGAGCCTGGGTTGAGGGGTAATGGGGGCACCAGAGGCAGGGCTGGTGGGGGCAGGGGCTGGGATCACCCAGATGCAGTGCAGAGCTCTGGGAGTTGCATCTAGGACACAGCAACTTCGGCCCCTCCCTGACGGCGCAGGGCCTGGGACGGGCAGTTTCTCGCCCTGGGTGGAGCTGATCTTGCAACCTACCTGCTTCCCTGGGATGGGTCCCTTTTTACGTACAGCACTGGGAAAGGGGCTGGTAGCTCCCTGTCCAGCCTTGCTCTAAGGACACTGGATAGGGGGAGACCTGGGGCAGAAACGGCAGACAGGATGAGGGGTCTGAGTGTGAGGGCAGGGCTTCCAGTTTTCCTCTACTCCCTCCCCAGGACCCAAGGCTTCAGAGCAAAGCCATCCTGTCTGCAAAGGGCTTCCTGATCTGGAGTGTCTGTGTAAGCATGTGAAAGCTTGGAGAAGAACAAAGAGGTAGCACTTGTAGGCAGTTGGGGGCACCCTCCCAACCCCAAGAGTAGAAAAGTCACCCCCACTCCGCCCCTCAGGTCAGGACTGGAGGGCACTGAATTCCCAGGGCCCTGTTTTCTCTTTGTCCAACATGACCTCTCCCAACTCCTTGTTCCTCTGAGTTCACTCCCAAGGTTTTGCCAACCAGGTGGGTAAGATTCTTCTCTGAGTGGCCAGGTGAGGTCACACCACCGGAGAGGCCAAGGGAGATAAGGCACCACTGCCAAAAACCACCTGGTGGTTGGTGGTCAGGGTGAAGGAGTGAGTGGAAAGCCATCCTTGCAGAACAACCAAACAGCCTACAGCAATCCCTGCCCCTTCTTATCTCCTCTGACTCCTCCCATCTAAGAAAGTAGGCAAGACACAGACAGGAGTTGAAGTTTATTCGTGGGAAAAACAAAGTTCCACCCTCCCCCCACAGTCCAGGTAGGTTTTCTCAGGGGGCCCTGCCCCTTCAAATAGTCATCTGTCTTTTCTGACCCCTGCTTCCACCAACGCCCATTACGATGCCGCTACTTGGGTGAGAGGCTCCTCCAGGTACTGCACCAAGGCCTGGGCCTGTGAGAAAGGGAGGAGAAATCAGTCCCACACAAGAATTGCCACTAGAGGGATCTTAAACTCAGGTCTACTCCTAATGCTCAGCCCCCAGCCCCTCGCCCCCACCTCCTCCCGGGAGTTAGCCTACACTAGGCACGGACTGGGTGACATGAGAAAGACTCAAGGAAGGTGGTGGGGATGGAAGTGGACACAGTGATGAAGCATGAAGGCTGGGCCCCGTGTTGTACAGGGATGGGCACATACACACCTTGGCTTTGAGCATTCCGAAGCCAACAGTCTCCTTGGCGTACATACACAGTAGAAGATTGGCCACTCGAGTGATGGCTACACGGCCCTCCTGGTAGGGGTAAGTATCATGAGATGTGATGTTCTGCTTGCACCTTTAGCCCCCTTCGTCACCAAGGGCTCCTCCAGAAAGACTGTATATGCCTTCCAAGCCCTGGGCACAGTAGGAGCTTCAGCTGGGGGACTTTGGCTGTAGCCCTGCATGTGGGGTCCTGAGTTCATTCCAGCCTCAACAGAGCCACCTGCTAACCAAGTTACACTGGGAAACCCAATCTCCCAGAAACTCAGTTTCTCTTTCTGTAATCCCTACCTTACTCCAGCTGGTGCTTATACACAGGAAGGAGTTTGGCATCTGCAAAGGGCTGCCAAATGGGTGAGGTTATTGTAACGGGTTCACCCCAAAGACACTGTAAGAAGACAGCAGTAACCCATCTTATATTTCCCTTCATTTCCCAAGAGAATGTTTTTCAAACTGCAGGCTTGGCCCCAGGGTTAACTGACTCCAGATCAATCAAGGTTGATCAGCATTGAAAGAAAAAGAAGAGAAATGAAGTGTAGTGTATGTAGTAAGGGAAGTACTATTTCATGAAACGTCTGTTTTGGTGGGTGTATGTGTGTACTGGACTCTGACGTAAAATATATTTCTTATAGCTGGGTTGTGGCCAAAACATTTGAAAGCTATTGCCCTATAGCATCAGCTCTAGGCTAGGCACTCTAGGAATCATCAGTTGGGAGTCCACAGTTGAACCAGCATGCTTGGTTAAGGAGGGCCTGAGGAAGAGGTAGGTGACTGAGTTACAGCAGAAATCCTTCCTGAAGAGTTCACTCTTGGGGCCTTTTCAATTTGGCTTAGCAAATTTTCACTAAATATCTAGTGTGTGCTAGGAACCACGTACTGCACTCCCTGCCTCTCCCTCCTCAGCCACTAACCTCCCCCATCCTCATTCTACTCCAGCCACTTCAACCTTGTTAATCCTTGACCTGGCATCATTCTGCCTCGGGGCCTCTGCATTTACTGTCCTCTCTGTCAGAAATGTTCTTGACCCAGAGAGCCACGTGGCTTGCCAATTTCCTTTAGATCTTTGATGAGATGTCACCTTTTCAGTGAGATTGTCCCCAACACACGCATCTTCTATCTTACTTCCTTGCTTTTTCTCCACATTTTCAATACCCAACATACTACTTTTTAAACTTACATACATATGTTACAAAACATATTTACTAACTTATTATACAAACATACCTATTTTACTTATTTTAAGGCATATCTTAAGACTGTAAGCTTCATTAGGGCTGCAGCTTTTGTCTGTCGTGTTTGCTAGTTTTCCCCCAGTCCTGAGAACACTGCAGCGACCTAAAAATTTTGTCGACTGAACAGATAAAAAGGTGAATGAGACAGCTTCTGTTTCCAAGAAGTTCGCAGTTTAATGGCCACTTCCCCTTTCTGGACTTCATCTCCTTTCTCTGTAAACGGAAGGGATTGGACGAGGGTCTGGAGACAGCCATGCTCCTGTCTGTGAATCTCAGCTGACAACACTTTTGTCTGGATATCACTCTACAGTGTCTCTTACATTCAATCACAACAATCCTGTGCATGGTGTGGTGGGGGGGTTATCGTTTTCACCTTGGAGATGTGGTAAGAAAGCTCAGAGGTTAAAGTGACTTACCCAAGGTTCCACAAATGATATGTGGCTGGCTGAGACCAGAATCCCAGTCAGACCTCAAGTCCATGACTCCTTCCTCACCACCACTTGATGCATAGGGTCCTGCCTATTATAAATGCTGCTACAGACCAATTCTTAGCAATTGTACAAAGATCCTGTCCCTGCCCCTCCAACCGTCCAGGATGAGGTCCAGGTCACCCCCTGGGGATCCCCTTAGGGGACAGAGGAAGTGGCTCCCCTCTCCATACCATGCAGTCCATGAGGATGAATTTGAGATTGTCTTCATTAAACGCTTGGTTCCCATTCCGGTCGTAGGCCGCCCAGATGTTACTGGCAATGGCCGCCGTGACCCGGGCGTCCGTATCTCCATAACCAGAGTAGGCCAGCAGAGATCCCTCGTTATTCAGCAGCCTGGTGAAGAATCGGGAGGGATATCATCGTGCTCAGGAAGGGGAGTGATACGCCTGGGTTCCCATCCCAACTCCCGTCACTGGCGCTTCTAGGAAGCAAGGGTCTGAGGGTGTCCTGGAACATGCCCTGAGCACCCGGCACGTCAGTTTCCCTTTTCGAGAGGGGCCCTACCGGCCGGTTCCCATAGTTGCTGCCCCCTCTGCCACCTCCTCCCTTCCCAGAGAGCCTTCCCCACCCCTCCCTCGGAGAGCGGCGCGCTGCCCCACTCCAGTGCTCGCCGCTCGGGTCCTCGGTCCGCACTCACAGGGTGCTCTGGACACCTCCAGTGTTGGCTTGGCTTAGCACCTGGGTCAAAGCCTTGGGACGCAGCATGCCTGCAGCTCCTAACCCTGGGCTTTTGCACCCAGATCCCCGAGTTTTTACTGCCGGCCTCTGCCCGCCGCTTCCCGTAGTTCAGCTGCAATGCTTCTGAACGCCCTGGGAGTTGTAGTTTCCCGGCCTGGCTTTGGGGTTCTGACTCAACCCCGCCCCACCGCGGTGGGGCGCTGGGAGTTGTAGTTCTTTGAAGCCTCGCAAGGCACCCTGGGAACTATAGTCGGCTTTTCCAAAGAAACCACGCGGTTATGGGGAAAAGAGCGGGAGTAAAAGGACAGTGGCAGTACTAGGACATTTAACCCCCTCGGGCAGAGAAAGGTCATATCCGCTTGACGACCCATGATTCAGTAATTAAAATAAAACCCCTATATTTGTCGGGCACACATCTGGTTACTTTTCAAAGCAATTTTACACATAATGCACAATTCTGTGAGATGAGGTGAATACTACTGAGGCAACTAAGGCTCAGAAAGGCCATGCAGGCAAAATCCAGGTCTCTGGGGCTGTACTTAATAGACTTCACGCAGGCCACTACTCTCAAGGGAATAAAGTCAATCCTAGGGTTTAGACGGACAGACATCCAGAAGTGGGAAAATTTAACCTTCAAGTCGGGAAGAGACCTCAGGCCTGGAAAGGATTTGGGGTTCCCGAGAAAGACCAGTTATCACAGGCAACGGAGATAAAGCGGCGACACAGAAAGTCCTTTGTCCCGGAGCTGGAGTTACCCGCGAAAGGGGCGGGGGCAGCTTTGGGTCCAGGGGGACACATCAGCTCGGCTAGGGCAGGTTACGACGGGCGGTGGGCTCTCGCGGGGAGCTCGCCCCC